CATAGGTGCAGGTGGAAAAAGGTTTATCTCAGAAACTGGGAATCTCATAATTCGGCAGCTCTCTAGAGATGATGAGGGAGTTTACACTTGTGTAGCTAAGAATCAGTATGGATCAGATGAAAGTCGCGGTCGTCTCATAGTGTTACGGACTCCGCGGTTCCTAGAACGACTACCGCCGCGAATAACTACCCAAGTCAATGACGTAATCTTTTTACATTGTAATGCTGAAATTGATCCTATCCTAGATACTGCATACTTTTGGAATCACAATGGCATACGCATAAAAGATGCTTCTGATTATTATGCAGACAAAAGGATTAAGATGGATGGCGGTGAACTTACTATCTACAATGTGAGCCTTTCGGACGTAGGTGATTATGAATGTGTGGTTAAATCAGCTATTGGCCGCATCTCATCGCACACCCAGTTGCGTATTGAAGGCCCACCTGGTCCTCCGGGCGGCTTACAAGTCCTCAATATTCAGCGATCAGCTGTCACTCTCGAATGGACAGATAGCAATTCCAATGGGCGTCCTATCACTGGATACATAATCACAGGTCGTACAAATTGGAATTCAACATGGATTGTAATAAGCGACAATGTACCCAACGTTATAGAAGTCGATCGGTACAACGGACGCAAACGCGCTACTGTTACGGCCAACCTTTTGCCGTGGTCCGTGTACGAGTTTAGGGTCCAAGCAGTGAACTACTTGGGCGAAGGAAAACCTTCTGCGCCTAGTCCGCAATTTTCTACGTTGCCTGATAAACCGCACCGAGCTCCCGCAAACGTGGGCGGCGGTGGAGGAAAAATTGGGGACCTCACTATCACTTGGAATCCTTTGCCTCCATCTCTCCAAAATGGACCTGGAGTTCACTATAAAATATTTTGGCGTCGCAACGGAACCGAGGTCGAATATCAGTCGCTACTCCTCAAGGAGTACGGGAACGTGGGCATGCACGTTGTACACGTATCGTTGACGTATTTCTTTACGCCCTACGATGTTAAGGTCCAAGCTTTCAACGATTTGGGTGCAGGACCGGAGAGTGATGTCGTGAGCATCTACTCGGCCGAAGACATGCCGCAGGTGGCGCCTCAGCAGGTGTCCGCTCGCTCTTTCAACTCCACCTCATTGAATGTGACGTGGAATCCGATAGACCAGTCGCGCGACAGACTCCGCGGCAAGCTGATCGGTCACAGGCTCAAATATTGGAAACAGGCCAACAAAGAAGAAGAATGCATCTACTACTTGTCGAGGACGACTAGGAACTGGGCGCTTATTGTGGGATTGCAGCCTGATACCTACTATTTTGTGAAGGTAATTTTGTTTTGGTATGAACATCTTACATCTTCTTCTTCTTTGGTTTATGGCGATGAACTTGCGTTTTTTCGCCACTGAGGGCACACTATTCCGTCAATGTCACGTGCGCAGCTTTTACACAGTGGTTGTTATAAACCATCATTATGTTTTCTATAATTGATCATTTGATAATTTCTAGGTAATGGCGTTTAACTCTGCCGGCGAGGGTCCTGAGAGCGAGCGCTTCTTAGAGCGAACGTTCCGCAAGGCGCCGCAGAAGCCTCCGGCCTCCGTCAACGTGTGGGCCGTCAACCCGAGTACTGTACGAGTGGTGTGGCGCTACGTGCAGCCCACTGATGAAGAGGAGCCGCTCATTGGTTACAAGGTCAGTGTAATAATAACCTATTAAAGTGTAGTGACGATGATATAACTGCCTGTGAGTACCTTATGCGCGTCTATGTGTAAGTGTTTACAGTCAACCACTGGTTATAATCGGGACTTTATCCTCAGTGGTGACAACCGGGAATAGATGATGGAAATCTACACAATAACATTTCATCATCATCATCATCATCATTTCAGCCATAGGACGTCCACTGCTGAACATAGGCCTCCCCCAATGCTTTCCATGTTGATCAATTGGTAGCGGCCTGCGGCCTGCGTCCAGCGCTTCCCTGCTACCTTTACGATGTCGTCGGTCCACCTTGTAGGTGGACGGCCCACGCTGCGTTTTCCGGTGCGCGGCCTCCGTTTCATCAAATAACATTTCGTTTATGGAAAATCTGAGATCTAAACCAAAAAAGTGTACCTACCTAACTTTTTGAAACAGTTTATTTAAGTTTCCGTACACTTACCTTGAAATAACTTGTAAGAAACCGGTTTCACTCGAACGATCACTAACACTGTGCACACAACCTGTCACTACCGCTGCACCGACAAGACTGCGCCGAAATTGAACGCCATTTTAGAACGTCCGTTATTTAAAAAAAAACAATTTTTTTTTAAAGTTTTCAATTTGCACAACTTTATGTTACTTCGGACATTTCCAAATTTTTCAAGTACCTACTTGGTGGAGTTTATGTGATATTTTTATTTAAACGTCGCGGCGTATCTCTTGCAGTTTCGAATCCTTCTGATGATCCATAGCGAACGTTACTAGGGTTGCGACAACAGGTCAAATTGTAATGATTTTACTGTTTCTACAGGTGAGAGTGTGGGAAATAGATCAAGACATGAGCACAGCAAACGACACGATAGTGCCAGTGGAACATAACTTAGAGGCGTACGTGACTGCCCTCACTCCTGGCAAGACCTACAACCTTCGAGTCCTGGCCTACTCTAACGGAGGCGACGGCCGCATGTCGTCGCCCGCCATCACCTTCCAAATGGGAGACTACCACAGCGACTCCTATGGATATTACGTAAGAGGTTCGGCAAGCACAAATCGACTAGCCCTAGGAATTTTAATATTAATGGCAGCAGCTCTATATTTGCAGATTTCATGATATCTGTAACATCTTATGACAACATATCTATTTGTATTATATTTATTAAAGACAAATTATATTTTTACAATTATTTCGCGTTCGCTTTTTATACAATTGTTTCTGTATATTTTTGTACTATCGCATAGTTCGGTTGTGACGTTTTCCGGCCATTTATTTTCTTGCATTTTTTATTTATAAACCTAAGTACTGGAAGTTTTAGAAATGCTTTTTTATGTTAGATTAAGTTTAGCTGTTAATACATAGCTTTATCGATTTTCTACTTATAGATTTATTGATCTTCTAATTATAGATTTATGATCTATTTTTATATTATATTAATATAGTATGTACCGAATGTCAAATTTTGTTGACAATAATTAATTAAGTATGTTGTGATTTCACAATTTACATTATATTTTACGAAATTATTTCATCACGTCCACTCCTCAGAATCTCGTAGTTTTAAGAATCTCTTTTCTGCTTATTTGTATATTTGGGATATACACCACCAATCCGAGCCATTTTCATGATGTAGTTTAGTATAAGATGACATTTTACATTTAAGTGGGCATATTTTTGATGTACAAAGCAGAAATGCTATTTTCTCGTATCGAACTATTTACCCTTACATCTACTGTGATTTGGGGCTGGTAGAGGTTCCAGGTTAACTCTTATAAATGTATTTCTTCTTAACTCCCTATTCGCCTTATTTCGATCGCTACAATTACGAATGGTTCAGAAGCCGACTGGACCACTGTATGTGTAGACATTAATTTGCCATCATGCATACGTTTTTTTANCCTATAATAATATTTTTTCGTTAATTTATGAAAATATCAAATTAGCCCGTAATCCTGAATCCTGATACATAAAGTTAGCCTATTAATTTAACACAGGTACGACTGTACTCAGTGTTGCACTATCAAATGCAATTGACGCGCCACTATGCCAGGGTTTTTATGTTCCTGGTCAGGCTATACCTAGTTGAACGATGGTAGCGCCCCCCCTGTCATTGAGTTTGGTGGGACAGTTCAGCGTGGGTCATCTATACGCGCTGTACAATCCGTCATACATTTTTTGACGCGCTCACTAGTCGGCGCGTTTGATGAACTCACACTCAGCTCAGCCCTCTGTAAGCTTTGAAGCAGTGAGAGGACTATCGCATTGGCATTACTTGCAAGTTCTAGACTGNTTTTTTTTAATTTGATACTTGGCCTAGACCGAAAGACCGACTAGAAATACGCGTACAAACAAGTAATGTGAATTTATTTTATAAGTAAGTATTTAATTTTTGTATTCAGTGTCATTAGCACATACGGCGGTCGACTTCTGAATGATATCTTTGTTGGGATACAATTATATGGGCGACAATATGTATATTAATATGGAAAATTGCCTTATAAATGTTATAAATCTTTGTACGTAACGTAGTAATGTTATCAATAAAATGACCCACAAACTAAATTTTGTTTATTTCACACATTATAACGTTTCAAGGCTCAAATTAAGTGAATATACAGGGTGTTAGGTAAATGGGTATATGAGCCGACACTAGCCCATGTTAACATGGTCATATAAATGGTATGGTGAAGTCAGAAAATCGATATCTTCATTTTAATTATTTTAATTTTCATACAAATCGGATTTTATTAAATTTGTTTTGTATCACAATTAAAAAAATTAAAATGATGATATCAAATTTCTGACTTCACCGTACCATTTATATGACCATGTTAACATGGGCTAGTGTCGGCTCATATACCCATTTACCTAACACCCTGTAGAAAAGGCCCTAAAAAGATAAAATTAAATGAAGGTTTACTGGCACTCACCAGTTGGCGCGCCCAATGGCGAGCAAGGTCCTGTCCCTCCTTACTTGTGGTTATATAAGTGGCGCCAACTGTGGGCCGAGTGTGAGTTTACATCAAACTATATGACCCACGCTGAACTGTCCCGCCAAACTCAATGACAGGGGGGCGCTACCATCGTTCAACTATATGGTTTCCAACACATGGCAAAAATCTGAACCAGCGATCCGGTATTGACGGTGGCGCCCCACTGTCAATGTCATCGACAGGACAGTCCAGTATTTTGGAACTATACTTGCAATTTCTAGACTGGCTTGACGCAAAGTATAGGAGCTTACTCAACAGTGCGCCAACTAGTGAGCGCAATTAAGGAACTCATTATAATTTAATTGAAACAAATGAATATTTACTTTAATTTATTTGAAATAATGATAAAACATCAGAATTTCTTATATTTCACCTTGCGTTTTAAACACTTCGCATCACCGTTATCTAATAGGTCAACATCAATAGAGCTTTTTCGTTTTAGCAAGCTTGTGTCTTCGGACACCTGATCTTTTTTTAGCGGTAATAGTCCGACAGCGTAAGGTATATCTTCATCTAGAGTAGAATTTATATTCTCATCATTACATTGTTCATTCTCTTTATCGTTTTCATCAATTAGTTCCCATTGATCGGGCTTAACGTTTGAATCGGTTAGGTCAATTACAGACTCGCCAAACCGATTCTCTGAAGTGATTGTATCTACATGATTATGCTGATTGCAGATTTCATCGTTTTCGATGTTTTCTTCATCACAATTATTGTCCTTACTGTTAATATCTATGTTATCCCACCGCAAACCGCTAGACGTTATGCTAGGAGATAAGTTTTCTGCGTCTTTGTCCTTCGTAGGGCTTGCTTCTGTTTCATTGTCAAGTCCTATATCTTTCAAGGAGTTAACATTGAAATCTTGAACCACATCATTAGAGTTTATATTATCATCAGTTTCAGTCTGATCATTAGCTTGTGATATATTCATTCGATTTTCTATATTCATTAGGTCTTTGATAATCTCATCCCTTTCTCGATTTGTCTTATCGTCTTCATCAGATTGTTTCGGAGTAGACATTAAGCAATCGAGAGCATCTTCTTTGAAATCCGTGGTTTGAGGTAATTGGAGACCGAAATCGTCTTCAGGGTTCAGTGGATTATACTGCTGATGTAGATTTTCATTCATGTCAGAAGTTTTAGTGTGTAGCAAAGACATGCTGAAGTTGGTGTCTAAAGAAGTGCTGACGGGACAAAGCTGCTCCATTACTCTAGCATCGTTAAGTTGTTGTTCCTCATAATATTTCTTAACATCGTCACTCATCGATTTGGTGAAAAACTGCATGTCGCTGTCAATCCCAGAAAAGTCGTGTGCGTTCGAATGATCATTGCCTTCTTGTAGACGAGGGTCGAGCACCACATAATTCTGTTGCTCCCCGAAAGATTCTAAAGTATCTGGAAGAATAGCATTTAAGCTATTGATCGCTTCTTCTTGTTGTTGACTGTATTGGCTATCGTCCTTTCCATAATTAGATGCTGAAGGGTAACTTTTGGATCCAAGCATCATTTCACCTCTTTCTATCGATTTAGAAAGATCATCAATGCTTTTAATTTCGCTTGGGTCAGCAACTTTTTCAATAATGTTCGGTTGCTCTATGACTTCGTATTGGATCTCACTGCTTTGTACCATATCAAGAAGTACTTGTTCGTTGACGTTTATGTATGAGCCATCTCCGGATTCAAAGAGTATGGGTAGATCGGTGGGCAGTCCAGCGCTTTTGAGGGCGTTTACATACTGGGACATGGCTGTACCGATGCCGCCGTTGGAAGCATCGTTTCCAGAGCTGCATATAGGGGTGTTGGAGTAGCTCGATGTTATGGTTTCGTTTCCAATGGAGTGTTCTTTGCTGTAGGAAATGGTGGGGTCAAGGACGTTCGAGGACACCGTCTGGTCCATGTACATCAGATCGTTGTCGATGTTCATGTAGTTGTGGCTGCTGGAGGTATCGGGGCCGCAGATGCTGTTCACTGCTTGCGACAACGTCACTCTGTCCATGTAATCCTGAGATAAAGAACAACAATTGAAATTATGATTGGATTATGGTTGAGGATTTTTTTATCAATTTCATATTATAATGTAAGTGTGTCTACTATAGTTCATTCACCTGCATGTGTCGCGTCTGCAAGTGCTTCAGCTGATGGATGGCTTTCCGCGAGTCCTGCTCCCGCCGTAATAGAGCCCGTTCAGCCGCTCGCCCCAGCACGCCCGAGGTATCCCAGCCACCAGTGCGCTGTAGAAAAAGCATCATCACTATGCGCTGTAGAAAAAGCATCATCACTATTTAGCTGCTAGTCATCGACTACTGAACCTAAACTAGCAAATCAGTCCGCTTGTTTCATCTTCAAAAACATCCATGGTTCTACTCTTCGGACGGATATATCGCGTGGAAATTGAAATGGTGGAAGAAGGAACGTGCTCATGGATGCTATTTAGATGTCATTGTATTCTCTTTAACTGTGAGAATATCTACACAAACCACTCATGGGCTAAATCATTATTGAAATATCAGCTCGTCTAAGTTTAACCCACCCTTACACTAGGACGGCCACGTCTGGGCTTGATGGCGCGCGGGCCATCGTAGTCAACTCCACCCGCGCCGTTACTGCCGTTCTCGATGTCGAAGGGAATCCGCACCACCGTGTCCTGAAATATTCTGATCATTTCATTCTGGGAAAATAAATTTGTCTATTTTCTAAAGCATTTCATAAATAATTTAAATTAATGAAATTTAAGCAAATAACTTAGAAGTTGAACCTTGTTAGTCCTCGATAAAGAGTCGACTGAAGGAGTACACGTGCTGGTCTGCGGTGGCAGCTGAGGTGGTGGAGGTTTCGGCTCGTCCTTTTTGGAAATCAACAGTTAGTATTTTCGTGAAAAATTAAGTTATGTAAGTAAAATCGGCACTTTCCCCACCAATAGACACTAAAAAAATAGGTTTTCCCTTTTATCGCTTAGATACGTATGAAATAAGAATAGGTAGATTCATCCTTAAAGATTAAAGAACATTTAAAGCGATCGTGTACCGTGTTAAGTAATAATGATTTCAACCAGGTACCAGGATCGCATAAAGATTAAGGAGGTATCTAATACTAATTCAGTAAGATGAAAAGGCATGAGTGTCACTCCATTGGAGAAAAAGAGATCGACTAAATACTTAATCGTAAAGAAAATGTGTAAACGAGATAAAAATATGTAGGATAAGGAAGGCTTAACGCTTTTGTCGTTTGTTAGAAAGAAACGGATAATTTATCAATGGGTGATGCGCACAACCAGTAAATTTACTAATACCCCACCACCATTCTACTTATGTTCTCCTGGTACTTGGTGCAAAGCAGTGCCTAGGTTGTTCGCTCGTTTGCGCTTTTACAATCAAAACGCATTAAAGAAGCAGTAAAAGCAGGCCTGGCTCACTCCGCGCGGTACATCCGATAATTACCTACCTACAGCGAAGCGCCCCGCCGGCGGGTATTATACCAGTCGAGTGTCACGCGCGCGCTCGTCAGGACGCTGGCGTGCGTTGTAGTATGATTATAATTCTATGATCGAAGTATTATTTAAAAATGGACATAAAAAGAAAGAAATATTGTGCGTCGTTCGGGTGTTTAAACTCGAAAAGTAATCTACCGGATTCATCTTTTTTTTTTTCGCTTCCCAAAGATGCTGAAAGGTATGTTGGCTATGAAGTTTATCAATAATTCTTAGGATAGTATAGGAACCTAACCTACTATGACTACTGCTCAGAATGCGTTCGTTCGTTTCAGCCAAATGACGTCCACTGCTGGACAAAGGCCTCTCCCAAGGTTTTCCATAATGAATGCATACCTACTTACCTACATACGTACCTCATTACAAATAAGTAGATTGATTATTTTTTCACTAGACAGCAACCCTAACAGCGTAAGAAGAGTTCAGAGGCACGCGATAGAAAGAGACAAAACTTGTAGGTGAATAAAATTGTAGGTACGTAGTGCTGTGCGAGCTGAATTCCACTGTATCGCGTCGTAGCAAGACTCGCATTTGTTTAAATTGCCTTGCGGAGTAATCCTTCTGTACCCGTACTATTACTTATTCTGTGGTAAAAGTAAAGAAGTGATTGCACAAAACTGCCGTATTAAAGTAATGAATTCAACCAAAGGTACCAGGATTACATAGAGAACGAGGAGGTATCTAAATATTAAATGACAATTCGGTAAGAACGAGACGGATTGCTTGATCCTTCTAACGAAAATGACATGTGTAAATGAGATGAAAGATAAGGAAGGCATAACACGTTTGTTGTTTGCTAGAAAGAGACGAACTATTACGGTGAAGCATATGTCTAAAACTAATTTTATACTAATACCCACCACCGTCAATATTATGTTCTCCTGGTAGGTACTTGGAGAACGAATTATTACAATCTGTCACAAGTAGTTGCGCTCGTTGGTAAGTCGTAGATCTTTAAAAGTTATGTGATTTTACTAAATTCGTAGAAAAATATTACCTGTGCATGTAAATCAATAAGCGACTGCGGTGGTCTATTGATTACCACAGGAGGGGTGAAAACCGGCAGTTCACCTACAATAAATTGTGCTTTCATTAAAATTAAAAAACTATCGAAAATAGTGGATAGGCATGTTTCGCACTACTTAAACATAATAATAATAACGAATTAGTTATGTACTTACTGTGGTTAGTAATCCCAAGACCTTCTTTCGTGACTTTGGATAGCCCTTTGATTTTAAGAAACTGGGCTGCAGATACAAGCTCGTCTAAATTTTCTTCTAAACATTGAGTTTTTCCACAATACATAAACTCTACGAGGCATTTGAGCACGCTGAATCGCATTTTCAGTATAATAAGTGGTTCGCCAGTTTGTTTTTGCAATACTTCCTGAGAAAGAAATCCAATATTAGCTATTTCAGAAAAAAGCTTTGTTAACACAAGTAACTTAGGTCGCACGTAAAACCATATAAAATAAATTTACCTGAAAATAAGCGCTACTCGCGGCTAGCACTGCTTTGTGCACACGCAAAGTGTGCGAACTGCACATAAGTGTCATGTCCACCAGTGATTGCATTTGAAGCAATTTTCCAAACCTGGACATTAAGTGCTCAGAGTAATCCTCATAGTGGAGGCTATAACGTATTGGGGCCATGCCAAAGCAAAACCCTCCGGAAATATTTACATGCACGTAAAATGGCTCAACAAGTTCAACAATAAAAATATGACAGCCGTGTATAGTTTAGGCACTTTGAGAGGTTAAAAACAAAAGAAAATCGAAATTCAATTTAATGTCACTTTTAAAAATATTTGAATTTATCACCAGCTCTTCATTATTATCAATGAGTATCAATGTGAAATCTATGGTCTATGAAGATAAGATAAGAATGAATTCCTCTATGGAATGAACCATGCGAGCTTTTTTTATTGAAGAATTAAGAACCTTCATCCCTCAGGAACTGTTAAAAAACTGTAAATCACTGAAGGATTGAGTAGCCTACTAGAATGTTACGATGAATCTGTAGTTCTAACATTGTTTTATCATTACAAATATAATATCATAAATTACATAATTTGGGAAAATAAAACGGTGGCTGTATTGGAGTCTTTTAATTCTTTAAAAATGCAGAAAAAAAGTAAAATGTTAGAAAATGAATTTATTACAAATTTGTATTTATTGTAGATAACTATGTATTAACAGTAAGTCGTATATGATTAATAATACTAAAGCATGAAGAAGACAACAGACATAGACTGTAAAAACATACATATTCTATCACAGACTACTTAATTAACGAATTTAAGTACAGAAATACGTAATAGGCAGAATAATGAATCAATTAAATAAATATCATCATTTGAATTTGCCAGCTCATGTAGGTCTTTGTTATAAAATCCACGTTTTGATGCGTTTTGATATTGAGTGGCATAATGTTGAAAACAAGTAAGATAGTTCAGTTTAATATACAGTTCGGAATGTGTGTAGGAATGCGATGAATTTTTCATAAGGCACTTGGAACAAATAGAATGAGGTCATGGTCAGAAGTTGTTATAATCAGACATAACACTGAAGTCACGATTAAAATTATTTATAGTTTAAGAGAGAACAAATTAATTACGCATATCCTGGAATTTTTTCTAAGATATAATTTACATTAACTACAAAACCATTAAATAGTTCCATAGAATCTAACCACACTTAGTTTAAAATTCATATTAACATTTATTTGAATCAATTTATTGTTCAAGGAAGATTAATAGGATAAATACATTTAGCTTCCAACATATTAAATGAATGCTTTCAAGAGTAATCAAATTTAAAAATACAAATTTGTAACATTTCCAATACTTTTAGTATCGTCTTAGAAGTCAGTTTTTTCTATACAATAGCCATTAGCTTTTACGTTTTACCCTTACCTCCCTACGACAAAGCTCATATACGCCGTGTCACAGCCGCATAGCTTTCGTGACACTGTCGCACGATTCACAAAAATACTGGAACACATTCTGAAAAATATCTGAGATAGAAATGCTATGTAACTATTATTCAATTTATTATACGAGTATGTACCACTGTGCGATGTACTTTACATAAAGAACTGTACTTTGTTTAAAAAAAATGTCATAGACAAACCAAAAAAATAAAAAATTAGGCGGGAACGCAACATAAATTTTCATATTTGCCTGACCAGGAACATAAAAACCCTCGCCATGTTGCGGAAAACTAATGGTACTAATTTCTTTTAATGGCAACAGTAACTGAAAACTTCATTGACATGTCACCTTGCATGTCAGTCTATTGCTGTCAAAGTGTAAACAAACTTTATTTTAAATGTGCACAATTGATTTTGTGAATTAAATTGCTAAAATCTTTTTATAGTCGTGAAAGAAAAGTGGTTCACAATGTGTTAAAGTATTTATCGAAGAGAAATACTAAGGGTTCGAACAATATTTTCATTGAATAATGTTTCCTACTTAGGAATTCCCACGGGAACAGGAATTAGCGGGAAAATCCTTTTGTATGAAAAATCTAAACGCTTAACGGAAGTTAGACGCTTGAAATTTGGCATGTAGGTACCTTAGTAAACTCAAAGCTTAGTTACAACAAGGAATTCCCGAAATTCCCACAGGAATTAGCGGGAAAATCCTTTTGTATGAAAAATCTAAACCGCTTAAGTAGACCTGAAGTGATGCAGTGACCGCGCGCTCTCCGCCCTCTATCTCGAAAACGGTTCACCGTATAAAAAAAGTTTTTAAACAAAATTTGTAGAGAATTTAGTATTCTACAATATTGATAATAAATACAAATAGCAAAAAACCCACAGGAAATGAGATATTTCTAAAAAAAGCGCAAAAAACCGATTTTTGTGACCGTTGACCTTGAAATTTAATAGTTGCTTACACCCTACCATATGTAGGTTTTGAGACAACTTTTAGGGTGTCAATATACACGTATTTACAGACTTACAGCTGGGTATCTCGAATTCCGAGGTGAACTTACTATAATGACTGGACTAGAAAGGCAATCATTGGTATACCGTACGTATTTATCGTGTTTTGTTTTCGTACTTACTCAATGTTACGCACTCAGTCTTGTATAAAATATACTGCATTATTGATATGTTATCATAATTTAAAACGGATGTAAAGAACCAGTTGAACCATTATTGTTAAATAATTTCGATACCTTTTGTAAAATTTAAAAAAACTTTATGTAAAGGTAAGGAGGATACAATACCATGGTACTATTACTTATTCTGTGACAATACCTAATACCTACTAATGAATAGTCAAACGGATACCTCTGACTTTACAATTTACCTAGAGCTACACCAACAATGATTGTAGTAAGGTTCTGTACTTGTTGATGTTATTCAGTTATTGGATGTTATTGTTATATAAATTATAAATAAATAATTGTTATCTTCAACTACCTGCCTACAAGCACATTATGGTAGTTTATCTTTCTTATCGCATGAATAATTTCATTATTAGTAGCATAAAAATGCACGATCATTTTGGCCCTGTTGTTGGACTCGGTTATCGACCTTTGCGTCATGAAAAATAACAAAACTATTTTTTTTACTCTTGATTAAAGTTCAAACACTGGACCTGCAGTTGATAGAGATATTAGATACCTGCTCTAGATGTTTTCACCATAGAGATTGATGANCATCTATACAGCGTACTTTGACAGCGTTATCCACAATTATTTTAAATTTTAATACATGCACTACAATATTGTCACTATAATAGATTCCATTAGTAAAAAAATTCCATCCCAGATATTACAGAACCCACATTTTTTATGACTGACAGCTGCGCTTATAAATTACGTAATCGGTATGTTATTTTTAATTCAGTTAGTTTTTGTTAATTCCAATATTTGTAGAAAAATATTCATCAGTGAATGTAATTTACGTAATATTTTTAATAATCTGAAGAATTGGCAAGAAGTACTTATTCATAGGATTACAACAGTTTATTTAATGCTACTCTGTCACACTGGGTGAACTGAACCAGTAGTAACCAGAGTATGCATTATTTCAACATTAATTAAGAGGAATCCTATGAAATAACTGCTTATTATTTTTATTGTTACCTTAAACCAGGGCCGGATCTACCTATGGGCTGATTGGGCTGCAGCCCAGGGCCCCGGGGTTACAAGGGGCCCCCAGATCCCGCTAAAAAGTAGGCCATAATTTGAAAAAAAAAAAAAATAGTTGTCTGTAAAGTCGGTTTACGGACGATATTTTTACGTGACAACGTCATAAGAAGTTTCAGCCCAGGGCCCCACAAATTCACGATCCGGCCCTGCCTTAAACAATTTGTATTCTGATTAGTTCGGTGTATCTGATAATTAGTTTTAGTTGAAATATTGACACGTTAATTGACGACTATCTAAATTAATCATAAGAAAATGTTACAAAAATAAAAATAATAATCACTTGATTTGTTCAATATTGGCTTAAAATTATAAAAAATAGTTACTTAATCGTTAAATTGAAATAAAAAAGAAATGCTAAAGTAAATACTAAAGTAATCGTACATGAACACTTTACACAGGTATGAGTAAATTTGTACAATACATAGCATGTAGAAAAAATAGAGATTCATTTATAGAGATCATTCAGTGAAACGAGACCATTGCTAGTCGCGTGGCGCGGGTCACGGGGCTGAGGGTTTTAAAATAAATATAAAATAGCAACAAAATCAACGTTGGAAAAATTCTATACCTAGGTTGGGCAAATACTTACTTACGTATTCGGTACGATCGCACGATCACGTTACGAGTATTCGCTCGACATCATCAACACGTGTCCCGTTTCCCAAACAATAAAAGAAAATTCATAAAAAAATATGTCCCCGGAAAGACTGAGGAATGGTCCGTTTCAGTGGCAGGTTACATTAGTCTTAATATAAAAAAGCAAATTACAATATTTACATCGGTCGACGCGCCGCGACTCGCTCACAATATACACATCAACGGAGTCCTCGCCCGCGCTCAGTCGGGCAGCGCCGGGCAGGCGGGCGCGGGCGCGGGCTCGGCGGCGCTCGGGGCCGCGTGCTTCAGCTCGCCGAACGTGCAGGCGCCGCGCTGGCGGCCCGCCGGCGCCCAGCAGAAGGCCTGCCGCGGCTCCGCGCCCGCCGACATCGGCATCGCCAGCCGCACGCGCGAGCGGCACAGCTCGTTGTCGCTCAGCTGCCGCTTCAGCCGGCTCTTGCCCACCACGAGCTGGAAGCCGCGCACGGCGTCCGCGCCCAGCTCCGCCTCGCTCAGCTGGCGCCGCAGCGCCGCGCCCGCCGAGCTGCCCGACGAGCCGGCGTCGGAGGCGGCGGGCGCGTGCGGCCCGCGGCGCAGCGACTCGATGACGCTGTAGAAGTGGTCGAGCTCGGCGCTGCTGCCGCGGCGGCGGTGGTGGCGCGCGCGCGGCAAGTGCGGGTGCGAGGCCTGGCGCGCGACGGGCGGCGCGCGGCGCGGCATGCGGCAGGAGGCGGGCGCGGGCGCGTCGTGCGCGACGTTCTCGTACACGTGCGCGTGGTCGTCGTCGGGCGCGATGAGGTTCTGGCGGCTGTCGGTGGTGTCGCGGCGCTGGCCGACCGAGTTGCTCTTGCGGTGGCCGGCGCGCAGCTTCACCTCGAGCGGCTTCCGGGCGAGCTTGCAGTCGCTGGCGCTGCGCGGCAGCAGGTTGGCGTAGCCGTGGTCGCCGCCGTCGGGCGCCGGCGCCGCGTCCGGCTTCGGGAGGCCGGGCGCGGGGTTGTCGACCCTCGTCGAGTTGGAATTTTTCTGGTGCTTACTGGATGGACTGGATTTGGCGAGTTCCGCGGAGATGGTCTGCGCGGGCGGGGCTTCGTGACGCTTCCGGTCCACGTCGGGCTTGGAAGATTTGTCGAGGACCACTTTGGTTTTGTCGCTCTTGCAGATTTTGACGCTGAACCGGAAGGGCGGCTTGAACACGACCTGCAGCCTCGCCTTCTCCCCCGTGAGGAGGTTCGTGGCGCTCTTCGAGGGCCGGGTTTTGCGCGTGCCCTTCTGCACCTGCCTGTGAGCGCGGTCGGTGAGGTTGACCGGGATGGACTTCGACTTGGGGATGACCGTCGGCTGCGGTGAGCTCAGTAACCATTTTTGCACCTTGGTCAGAGCTTCGGTGTCCTTCGTGGGGGACGAGGGATGCTTTTGCATGGAACTGTAGTCTATAGTCTCCTTTTTCATTTTCGTTTTCCGCTTTTTAACTTTGCCTTTGTGTTTGGATAATATCACGTGTTTCGGGGATTTGCCTTCTGCATTCGTTACGATTGCAGTACTTTCTTTAGTAACCTTATGGGTTTCTTCTTGTTTCGGTTGAGAAATTGGCTTCTGAAAAAATAAAGTTGTGTAAGTAAGTGTTATGTAACGTATTTAACTTATTGTAATATCTCTGTATATTTTAAAACTTACTCTCTTTTTATTGGCACTGTGAGACGGAGACGCTTTGTCCCCTAATTTCTTGAGGTCCTTCTTGTTGCGATACGCGCGTGTGCGTAAGGCTACTTTCTTTTTAAGAGGAACTTTCGACCTGGAAAATATGAAATATAAAATTATAGTGCTGAATGGGAAATAAACCAACTGTATGTACAGTCAGCGTCAAATAGTTTGTGACACTCAAAGTAGCCAAAAAGTTTGCAACAAGTGTTTGTTTCAATGAGGGCTATCGTTTTTTTACTTAACAGTTGGCACCCCTGGCGATTGACAGGACCTTACTCTACAGTGGCGCCATCTTGATGAGTGCAAATGCGATAGTCCTCCTACCACTTTCGCGCTCACCAGTTGGTGCCACTGTCTTCGCTACTAGCAAGTGACAGGACCTTACTCTACAGTGGCGCTAACTGGTGAGCGCTAAAACGATAGCCCTCATTGGAATAAGGTTGTGTTGTCAACTTTTTGGCCATTTTGTGTGTCAGAAGACTACGGCCACTGACTGTACGTACCTAATACGCGCCTATTTATAAGGTTTCTTTTTTTTTTAAATCCAAACATTTGCTTACCTTACAGCTGTATGTACAATGAGGCCTTGGTCGGCCGCGTCGGGCAGGCGGACGGTTTCAGTGGTGGACGAATGTATGATGGTGACGGACTTGAGTTTCTTGCCGTGCCGGCCGAAGAAACGTGTGCTTGCAAACTGGAAACATATTACCTAGGTATTAGAATCTTCAATTTATTGTTTGTAATCGTAAATACGATGAAAGGAAATCCAGGACTTGTAAAACCAAATTAAAAAAAAAACCAATGCAGATTTGAGGGTAGGAAGGATGAAGTTTTACTTTGGGATACCTACGGCTACATGTATAACCTACATTTAATGTTATGAACATGTTCTGAATAACGATAGCGAGCGTTATGTGCACCTACATAACGATATTTTAGTGCAAGTAATAGTAACATGTTAAAGTAACCTTTACATCTTAGGCACATGATAATGAAGAGCTTTAATGAAGGATTTTTCAATGTAAAGGAACCAACTCTGAGCTTAACAATCGTGTCACACTTCAAGCTTACATTCGCGTCAAGTGTAATATACCTGTTAAATTAAAGACACTAATGTTTAGTGTCAATCTTTATGCCAGCGTCTAGGACGCAGCAGCAGCGCTAATAAAAATAAAACAAAATTTTAAATAACATAAATTATTACATAACCTTCGCTTTCATCATGAATTCCCAAAAAATAAATCAAAATGTAGACAAAAATAATTTCCTTATCCTTGCCTTGTCACAAAAAAAAAATACAGAAAAACGGGACGTCGGAATGAGCCCGCTCCAGCGGGGTTACTCCGAAAAACGCTATCCGAAGTTTGGATTGGAATATTTCTATCAATCTATCAACAACAGTGAACGGGTCTATCACCCGTCCGTAAGCAACGTTTTGGAGTAGCTCTCCAACACTCACCAGTTGGATGCGACTAGATGCAGGCCGCTACCAACCGTGTGATGTGGAAGTCATTGGGGGAGACTAGGGATGTTATGGATATGTAGTTTCGGTTATGGATACGGTTACGGATATAGGAATAATATTATACCGGTTTCGGTTACAATTACGGATATCTGTGCTTTAGAATGCAATTTGTAATAGTTGTCCAACACGATTCATTCATGGCATGACTTTACATCGAATAAAAGTAATAAAAATCGATACTAGATGGCATTATAAAGGTAAACCAGACTGTTATGCCTTTACATAAATAATGCTATACAAAAAACAATATAAACTGCTTACATCCGAAACTTTTGAATCGGTTACGGTTACGGTTTCGGATATTTTTTTATTTCGGATTTCTATAACATCCCTGGGGGAGACCTATGTACAGCAAGTTCTGTGGCTGAAAGGATGATGATGACTCACCAGCAGCGCGATGACGGCAAGCAGGATGAGCAGCACGGCGTACCAGTGGCGTAGCACCCAGCGCTTGAAGCCGGCGATGCTCTCGTCCGACAGCAGCAGCTTGCGCAGCGTGGCCAGCGGGCCCGACGGGTCCACCTCCCGGCAGCGCTGGAACACGTCGCAGTAGCTGCCGGGGATACGGACTTATTAGTCAAAAAACTCATAAAACTCATTTATTAATGCAAGTAGACTTTTAAAAAGCAGTTTTACACGTCCCAACCTTTAACCATTAAGTCTTCGTTAATTCACTAATTGATAGTATGCATTCAACTAAATCTATTAAGGAATGAGGGTTACCCTATTTGCGCTACTGGTTAGGCCAGTGGCGCCAACTGGTGAACGCTAATTCGCATTTGGCAGTTTAGCGTCACCCTCCAAACACCTCCAGTGGTATATCTCATCGCAAGAGCTATGTTCTTATGAATAGGATAATTATGTATGACTGAATGATTGATATAAATAAATAAAAGTGACGTGGGACGATATGCTACTTGTGTCTCTTCAGAAGATTTTCAGTTTTAGTGTCACTCTGGTGTTTACCTATTTCCATGACACATTTAGCGTTTAATGGCATTCTTTAGGGTAGATACCTAAATGCTTTCAGAATGGGTATTTCCGTCAAGGTAAAGTAGTAAGAGTGTTCAGCCTTCCAACACTCACCCGTTGTAATCATTGCAAGGCGTGCCCGGTTTAGCATACATGTCGGGCACGTCATAGGGTGGCGCGTTCCAGTGGAAGAAGGAAAGGCATGGCCCGCCCGGCTTGCGGCAGCACGACTTCAGCCTAATTCTCATGACGCTCCGGCGTGCTTTATCGTAGACACAGCCTGTACAATATCTTCATCTCTCAGTAACACTCACCCGTTGTAATCGTTACAAGGCGTGCCCGGCTTAGCATACATGTCGGGCACGTCATAGGGCGGCGCGTTCCAGTGGAAGGAGGACAGGCAGGGCCCGCCCGGCTTGCGGCAGCAAAGTTCGCAGGCCGCTCGCGCGTCGTCCGCCCGGGCCGCGCATTGGCACGATTCCAACCCGTACGCCAGGCAGATGGAGCCCGTGCACTCCTGGAAAACAGATAAGAATAAGTTGCTTTGTTATAAGTCATCATCATCAAGTCATTTTAGTCTCTACTGCAGGAGCGAATTAGAGAATTTACCAGAGACAAAAGGATTTGGCCTACACTCCCCACGCTGCCCAGACGGGTTGTTAAGTATAAGTAACTGCAATTATTCTGTAGCAGTCTGGTATACGCAAACCGTAACAACAGTAACCCTCTTAAAAACGTTATCTGAAGAATGTTGCCATTCCCTCTCACGCAAAGCGAGTTGTCAGCTTGTCAGCGTGAGCGACTGTGACAGATGGACCCGAAACTATTTAACGTAAGGTTTTAGAGTAGCCCTGCAGTCTCGTATCCGTTACGCACATTGAAGTAATATAGTACATTATAACTCAATGGTTACGCAAAGCCATTTTTATTACCCTGTGATTGGTTAAAATATTTGTAACAAAGCATTTTAGCTTAGCTGCAGTAAACGAGTCCGTTAACAATATAGTGTATTTTTTTTAATTAAGGTCCATTTGATTACGTTATGAATAGCTGATTGGTAAAACTTACTCCCATGTAACAAACCAGCTCCTTGTCGCAGCGCGTGCGGTTAGGCTTGTGTCGACTAGCGGGGCAGGCGGCGCGCTTGCCGTCGCAATGGGCGGCGTCGCGGCAGCCGTTGTCCGAGCGACACTTGTCGCCGAACTTGAGGGTGCAGGAAGCGGTGCAGCAAGGACCCTAGAAATTAGAAAATATTTTGTTTAAACTATGTATAATTAAAAAACACATCCGCAATGGACTTTGTATGGTTTTACACTATCACCAGTATCACCACTTTAAAACAATGAATCGGCTGGTGCAGACAAGGTGAAGAAAGAAATCAACTCATTATTAATCAACACATTAGTGCTAGGGCTGCCGACACTGTGTTCCGTGAGCGTGCACTACTTATAGTGTGGCTCTAGTCATCTAGAGCTCATCATAAATGGCTGTGACATACGGACGGACAGACAGACATGACGAATCTATAAGGGTTCCGTTTTTTGCCATTTGGCTACGGAACCCTAAAAATGACTAACCACAATGATCTACAAAAGACACGTTCGTACCTGGCTTGGGCTGCAGACGCTGTGTTCTGTAAGCGTGCAGGGCTTATAGTGCGGGCGCGGCGCCTGCGGCCGGCAGCACACGTCCGTGCATTCGGAGGCCCAGCCGCAGTCACACTCCTCGCCTTCCTCCACCACGCCGTTACCGCAGATCGCTGGTTGAGGTTCTGGAAAGTAAAGATGGCGTTATTTCTTCAACTATTTACGACGAAAGTAAACCTGTGTTCCACATGTGAATATGGAGAAGATCTGTATGTTCAACGTAAGAAAGAACTAAATATTGAAGCAATCTTTAGAATTCAGATGATGAGATCAACCTTCACAAGTGGAAAATTTAGTTACGATACCTATCTAAGTATCGCCTCGCACCGGCTTGACTCCTTACAAGAAACACCCTGTATAAGCTGCTAAGAAAAAGAAGTCATTGTATGAAGGCAAAGGCAAACCTGTGAAGCAGCCTTTCGGTGAGCGCGCCTTGTTGTTACCGTCCTCGCCTGTCACCGTTAGGTATATCAGTGTAGTATGACATAAGGGTTAAGGTAACCTGTGAAACAGCCTTTCGGCGAGCGCGCCTTATTGTTGAGCACCGGGTCTATAGCGCGGAGCGAGCAAGGCGAGAATTTGTTGTTGTTCTTCCGATCGCCGCTGGTGGCGCGTGCGAACATTATGTAGTTGCCGTCCTCGCCGAATGGCGTGCACACTTCAGGGTCGTGCTGGAAAAAAAGACTTATTTAGCGCACAATCATGGAAAAAACATTCTTCTAATTCTAAAAAGAAGATTGTATTAGTAGGATAATCTGTTATCTCAATGAAGTAGCATCTTGTCACATACAACATAATGGATGATCAGATCTTATAAGGTCACCATCAGGTTCACAAACCATACAAAACAGGCACGAGTCAGATCTAGGATACCTGCCCGCAGTTTGCGGTTGCCGTGCTTAGAGTAGCATAGTGGTTTGCCACCACACGTTAGGTAGTATTCGCGTCCACACTCGCCGCATGACAAATGCACAATCAATTACTGCGGGTTTTTGAGGTGGACTTTTGAATTCGAAATACATATTTTGCTAAACATGTTGTACTTAATTAGACAAATATATGAGTAGAAACTAGCTGTTCAGCAGCTTGTTACATTTGTTTGTTTTAAAAAAGTATCACCATCGTTTTCGTGTATAGCACGTAGTCACGATCACGAACCACTACAACCTTGAAACATTTACAAATGTTTACTAAAAATATTTATGAAGATTTCTACTTTTGGGCCCGTGAGATAGTGCTCAAAAATCTATCAAAGACAGATTGAAGGCTTTCAGAATTGAATATAAAATATTTTGCGGTACAATATTTTNTAAAGATTTGCTTACCTTACAGCTGTATGTACAATGAGGCCTTGGTCGGCCGCGTCGGGCAGGCGGACGGTTTCAGTGGTGGACGAATGTATGATGGTGACGGACTTGAGTTTCTTGCCGTGCCGGCCGAAGAAACGTGTGCTTGCAAACTGGAAACATATTACCTAGGTATTAGAATCTTCAATTTATTGTTTGTAATCGTAAATACGATGAAAGGAAATCCAGGACTTGTAAAACCAAATTAAAAAAAAACCAATGCAGATTTGAGGGTAGGAAGGATGAAGTTTTACTTTGGGATACCTACGGCTACATGTATAACATACATTTAATGTTATGAACATGTTCTGAATAACGATAGCGAGCGTTATGTGCACCTACATAACGATATTTTAGTGCAAGTAATAGTAACATGTTAAAGTAACCTTTACATCTTAGGCACATGATAATGAAGAGCTTTAATGAAGGATTTTTCAATGTAAAGGAACCAACTCTGAGCTTAACAATCGTGTCACACTTCAAGCTTACATTCGCGTCAAGTGTAATATACCTGTTAAATTAAAGACACTAATGTTTAGTGTCAATCTTTATGCCAGCGTCTAGGACGCAGCAGCAGCGCTAATAAAAATAAAACAAATTTTAAATAACATAAATTATTACATAACCTTCGCTTTCCTCATGAATTCCCAAATAAAATTGTAGACAAAAAGGCGAAGTAATATCCTTATCCTTGTCACAAAAAAAATACAGAAAAACGGGACGCGCCAGCAACGTCGGAACGAGCACGCTCCAGCGGGGTACTTCTAAAAACGCTATCCAAAGTTTGGAATATTTCTATCCCTCTCACGCAAAGCCAGATGCCGGCATGAACAACAGTGAACGAGTCTATCATCCGTCCGTAAGCAACGTTTTGGAGTAGCTCTCCAGCACTCACCAGCTGGATGCGACTAGATGCAGGCCGCTACCAACGGTGTGATGTGGAAGTCATTTGGGGAGACTAGGGATGTTATGGATATGTAGTTTCGGTTATGGATACGGTTACGGATATAGGAATAATATTATACCGGTTTCGGTTACGGTTACGGATATTTTTTTATTTCGGATATCCGAAAGTTTCGGTTACGGTTACGGGTTACAGTAGCACAGATTGCTTTAGAATGCCATTTGTAATAGTTGTCCAACACGATTCATTCATGGCCGCACACTTTACATCGAATAAAAGTAATAAAAATCGATACTAGATGGCAGTATAAAGGTAAACCAGACTGTTATGCCTTTACATAAATAATGCTATACAAAAAACAATTTAAACTGCTTACGAAACTATGCAAAATTTTTGAATCGGTTACGGTTACGGTTTCGGATATTTTTTTATTTCGGATTTCCATAACATCCCTGGGGGAGACCTATGTACAGCAAGTTCTGTGGCTGAAAGGATGATGATGACTCACCAGCAGCGCGATGACGGCAAGCAGGATGAGCAGCACGGCGTACCAGTGGCGCAGCACCCAGCGCTTGAAGCCGGCGATGCTCTCGTCCGACAGCAGCAGCTTGCGCAGCGTGGCCAGCGGGCCCGACGGGTCCACCTCCCGGCAGCGCTGGAACACGTCGCAGTAGCTGCGGGGGATACGGACTTATTAGTTTTTGTCCTAATTCACAAATTTTATTGATATCGCATTCAGATAAAACCTAAAAAAGATAAGTAAATGTTTCTATAGTGTTAAAGATTTTATGGAAGATAAGTAGGTAATAAATTTTGTTATTAAGTAAGTAGTAGATGTATATATTGTTATACTTTGTTATATAAATATAATAATATTTTATATAAGTCTATTAAAAACTAAAAAAAGGATGTAAGTTAAGATATACCTACTTATGTAAGTAGATTGCTGTACCCAACCGGGTGTGCATAGTTACCTAAGTCACCTAGTTTTAAGTTTCTTAGTGTACAATGTATTTTATTGCAATAAATAAATAAATAAATTAATAAAAATAATAATTACTCGTATTAAGACATTGGCGCCAACTGGTGAACGCCTTTGCATTTAGCAGGTTAGCGCTTACTTCGACCAGACCACCACCAAAGATATACCTCATTGAAATTCCACGTGAGATTAAATAAAAAAAATGTCAGTCAATTGAGTTGGCAAGTCTCTATTGCCATACAAACTAATGGGAGAGTCGCTTTTGGGTGGATGAGTCAAAAAGGTATGATGGAAAGACAAGTAAAGAGAGACAATAGGCTACTTGTGTAGCCTCTCTTCAGATTCTTCAGAAGATTCAACTCTCCTGTAGGCCTAAGATGCGCGCCGTGATAACTTTTATCGACGTCAAAATGTATGGGCAAAATCGATAAAATGGCGTGATAACCGCTTATCGCGGCGCGCATGTTAAGGCCTACTGCACTCACCCGTTGTAATCGTTGCAAGGCGTGCCCGGTTTAGCATACATGTCGGGCACGTCATAGGGCGGCGCGTTCCAGTGGAAGGAGGACAGGCAGAGCCCGCCCGGCTTGCGGTAGCACGACTCCAGCCCAAATCCTATCACGCTCCGGCATTATCGTCAACACACCCTAATGATGATTTCAGTTAGAATAACTCTTAGCTGCACTCACCCGTTGTAATCGTTGCAAGGCGTGCCCGGCTTAGCATACATGTCGGGCACGTCATAGGGCGGCGCGTTCCAGTGGAAGGAGGACAGGCAGGGCCCGCCCGGCTTGCGGCAGCACGACTTCAGCCTAATTCTCATGACGCTCCGGCGCTATCGTGAACACACCCTATAGAATACTTTCATCTCTCAGTTGTACTCACCCGTTGTAATCGTTACAAGGCGTGCCCGGCTTAGCATACATGTCGGGCACGTCATAGGGCGGCGCGTTCCAGTGGAAGGAGGACAGGCAGGGCCCGCCCGGCTTGCGGCAGCAAAGTTCGCAGGCCGCTCGCGCGTCGTCCGCCCGGGCCGCGCATTGGCACGATTCCAGCCCGTACGCCAGGCAGATGGAGCCCGTGCACTCCTGGAAAACAGGTAAGAATAAGTTGCTTTGTTATAAGTCATCATCATCAAGTCATTTTAGTCTCTACTGCAGGAGCGAATTAGAGAATTTACCAGAGACAAAAGGATTTGGCCTACACTCCCCACGCTGCCCAGACGGGTTGTTAAGTATAAGTAACTGCAATTATTCTGTAGCAGTCTGGTATACGCAAACCGTAACAACGGTGACCCTCTTAAAAACGTTATCTGAAGAATGTTGCCATTCCCTCTCACGCAAAGCGAGTTGTCAGCGTGAGCGACTGTGACAGATGGACCCGAAACTATTTAACGTAAGGTTTTGGAGTAGCCCTGCAGTCTCGTATCCGTTACGCAAAGCCTTTTTTATTACCATGTGATTGGTTAAAATATTTGTAACAAAGCATTTTAGCTTAGCTGCAGTAAACGAGTCCGTTAACAATATAGCGTATTTTTTTTTATTAAGGTCCATTTGATTACTTTATGAATAGCTGATTGGTAAAACTCACTCCCATGTAGCAGACGAGCTCCTTGTCGCAGCGCGTGCGGTTAGGCTTGTGTCGGCTGGCGGGGCAGGCGGCGCGCTTGCCGTCGCAATGGGCGGCGTCGCGGCAGCCGTTGTCCGAGCGACACTTGTCGCCGAACTTGAGGGTGCAGGAGGCGGTGCAGCAAGGACCCTGGAAATGGGAAATTTTGCTTTGAACTATGAGGTAATTCGATCATTAATCAAATCAAATCAAATATATTTAATTTGCGAACATTTTGGCATGCAAAATTATAAATCAAACTTATCAATTTTCATTTCGATGAAAAATAATTATTCACTTAAATAATGTCAGATAAAGATCTCTCGCCTAGATATTAATATAATTTTCCCCCATTAGCGCCAAACTCTAGAGAAGAATCGCAGGGATTTGTGGACATCATGAAAAAATTAACTGACTCTGTTTCTGAAATGGCTGTTCTTGTCCCACATAGCAGTTAACACTTCAGCCATATTTATCCTGTTTCACAAAGGTGATCTTACCTGGCTAGGGCTGCAGACACTGTGTTCTGTAAGCGTGCAGGGCTTATAGTGGGGGCGCGGCGCCTGCGGCCGGCAGCAAACGTCCGTGCATTCGGAGGCCCAGCCGCAGTCGCACTCCTCGCCTTCCTCCACCACGCCGTTACCGCAGATCGCTGGTTGAGGTTCTGGAAGGAGAAGATGATGTAGTTATTTCTTCGACGATTTACGACGAAATTGAAGCTGTGTTCTACTACTTCATGCGAGTCTGGAAAGAACCTGCATGTTCAATGTATTAAAGAACTTTTGAAGCAAGAGTTCTATATCTCATTGATCTTTAGAATTGAGATGAGATCAACCATCACAAATACAGTGTTTTGCAAATAAAAAAATAGTTACGACATTTATCTATCACCTCACACAGGCTTGACTCCTTACAAGAAACACCCTGGATAAGCTGCTAGGAAAAAGAAGTGAAGCTGATATTATGATGTAGTATTTATGTTCTTCCGATCGCCGCTGGTGGCTCGCGCGAATATGTAGTTGCCATACTTACTTACTTACTCGCCGAATGGCGTACACACCTCAGGAGCGTGCTATAGTCTAGTAACTATAAGAATGTAGTATGTAGCTATTGACATAAGGGTAAAGGTAGGTAACCTGTAAAGCAGCCTTTCGGAGAACGCGCCTTGTTGTTGAGCACCGGGTCTATAGCGCGGAGCGAGCAAGGCGAGAATTTGTTGTTGTTCTTCCGATCGCCGCTGGTGGCGCGTGCGAACATTATGTAGTTGCCGTCCTCGCCGAATGGCGTGCACACTTCAGGGTCGTGCTGGAAAAAAAGACTTATTTAGCGAACAATCATGGAAAAAACATTCTTCTAATTCTAAAAAGAATATTGTATTAGTAGGATAATCTGTTATCTCAATGAAGTAGCATCTTGTCACATACAACATAATGGATGATCAGATCTTATAAGGTCACCATCAGGTTCACAAACCATACAAAACAAGCACGAGTCAGATCTAGGATACCTGCCCGCAGTTTTCGGTTGCCGTGCTTAGAGTAGCATAGTGGTTTGCCACCACACGTTAGGTAGTATTCGCGTCCACACTCGCCGCATGACAAATGCACAATCAATTACTGCGGGTTTTAAGGTGGAATTTTGATTTTATATTTTGCTAAACATATACATACTTAATTAGACAAATATAGGTACGAGTAGAAACTAGCTGTTCACCAGCTTGTCACATTTGTTTGTTTTAAAAAAGTATCACCATCGATTTCGTGTATAGCAGCCACGATCACGAACCATTACAACCTTGAAACATTTACAAACGTTTACTAAAAATATTTATGAAGATTTCTACTTTTGGGCCCGTGAGACAGTGCTCAAAAATCTATATCAAAGACAGATTGAAGGCTTTCAGAATTGAATATAAAATATTTTGCGGTAAAATATTTTTGCCAATCACAGACTTTTCCTTGCTTGAACTTTGATTAAGAATTCGGGAATTTATTTTTATAATAATGGCCTAATAATGTTAACACAACTTTTTGGAGTAAACAACTACAATGAGTAATATAAACAAAACAAATTAAATACAGATCCGTACCGCATGTAACCAAACAACTAAATAAACAGAGAACGGGAAATATTTTCATTCCACGAATCCTTGCAGTTTTCAAACGAAAATAAAATGCGTCCCCTTTACAAACCTTTGCTTTGTCCGTGATGTTTCAATAGGAGTTATCCCTATCGTTTAATCCGGTAGATCAGATTTTATTCTTTTATTCCCTTTTATGGACACCTAAACGTGCAGTTTTTAATCCAATATTTTGTATTCACTGGTTATTGCTGTATAAAGTAGAATTGATGAACAACCAACGCGTTTTTCATAATTTAATTTGAATATTGATAATGCCTTAAGAGAATTACTTCTTCATTATATGATGATGAAAGCTTTTTAAATGTCTTACCGGAGAACCGAAGTTGTGACCAATCTCGTGCGCGAGAGTGACGTGGGATACCGCTGGCGGGACATGTTTGCCGTAGTTTAGTAACGTCACTATGCCTGTGTTTAGCGACTTCATACTCCCTCGGTAGTGCTGTAATAATACAACAAACATCAAAAATGTTCAAAGTAATGAGGAGAGCAGAATCAAGAAGTTATAATCAAAAAGTAAACCCACCCCATTCTTTTCGCAGACGCCACCAGCATTCTTGAGATCGCCCGTCCAAGCCAGACCCAAAGTGCCCATCTCAAAATCTCTGTACGTGAACATGTATGCCAAACAAAATGCGTCGTAATCTTCTTCTGCAATAAACAAAACAACGGAGTTATTAAATTATAAAATAGGTATTGCTTTTATGATATTAAAGTTCCTTCACCTCAAATCCTACGGGATAAGACGGTGGATCGGAGGTAACAGCTATTATATCAAAATAACTTTATTTAATAAGATCCAAGAAATTTCCACAATCTACATTTTAATTAGATACCGTGGAAAACTTCAATTACCTGTATTTATTACGGTAGTAGCTCAGTGAATAGGCCCCTAGAGTGGGTCGTTCGCTTCACTGATTGAATGATACCTCCCCATAAAGAAATTACTTACCTGAAAAAAGCTCTAAGTATTTCTCAACGCCGTAGTTGTTGGGAAACCTATACGAAGGCTCCTTTAATGCGTCTAACGTATGAACCTTTATTCTTTTGATCATAAAGGTTATATTGTCGGGCTTGCCGTCTTGATTGAAGTCTAAAAGAAAAATTACGCTTTTAATAGATACGCCACTCACGCCATAATCGATTCTAAAGGTTAAGCGTAACAAGGCCTTACCCGTGACTTTGTATATCGCGTTGACTTTTTGTACATGTCGAGTCATGACTTCTATGCAGGCCTCCTCCGATCCGTAACGTTGAAAAAACATGTGGTCGGCTTGCAAGTACACTAAACAAGTTGTTTTCCTAGGGTCTACCGTGGCTCTCTTATTTACATGGCGGCCGTCGTCGGTCCCGTTGGCCGACAGCACTGTATATCCTACTGGCTCCTTCTTGACTATATCTTTACTGACTGTCACGACTCCTGCCTTCGTTTTGATCACTTCGACGTGCGTCTTTGGCTTGCTAGGTCTCGACTCTTCAGAATCGAGCCGCACCTTAGTTATGAGGTTACTTTTGTCGATTTTAGTTTTTGGTTTTCTCGTGCTGAACTTGTCAAAAGGATCACTATTACTGGTGTAAGGGACATCTAAATCTAAAGGTAATTCGGGGTTCTTCTTTGGCTCATCATCTTGCATTTCGTCTTCGGGGAGCCATCTCTTTTTGCGTCTATGTATTTCACTATTCAGGTCTTCAGAGCGGTTGTGGGGCGACGATTCTTTATCTGGAAGGTTTGTGAAATTGAAAAGTTCTCCCTGACTCCCGAGAGTTCTTTTGACGTGCAGCAGGTGGGAAGCACAAGGCGTGGCTCCGCTTTCATGAGGATGATCAACATCCGACTTTCTGTATATGACGCTGTGCATGGAAGGATGGTCTACGTTGTAACGGGATAACGGTTCCACATAATACTCTTCTGTTGGTGTCCAGATAGTTCCATCGAAGAGACCTTCCGCTGTGATGACTCCATACACGTGTGAAGACTCATCATCTGGAACAAGTAAAATAAACTTACTCATCTAAACTTCAAAGTTGTTTGACGAAATCATAATTAATTAACTTATGAATTTGTTCAGTATATACTTTGCTGTAGACGTCCTACACTTAAATAAGCCTTTGAAATACAAACAACCCGGGACGGTCTAATAAATGGCTGGCAATATTTTATGTAAACTAATTCGAGGTGCAAAGAGCCCGGGGACTGCGAATGAATTAAAATCACAACTTGCAGTCGCGCGGGTGGGGGATGAAAACCGCTCATAAATAACAGTGATTACCCACCTCGCCCTCCACCTTTCTTTCATTAATTCTCTGATAAAAGAAAATCAACTGCGGAAAATACGATCTATGCGCAGTCCGGGACAAAATACCTGACGAGCGATTTTAATGAGGTTTGACGTTTCTATAGACTCCCCGGAATGGCAGGTAACATCAAAGGAACGGAACGCTCGGCTGGATCGAGATTAAACAAATGACTTTTGATAATGGGCCCATGTGTAATTTGACGGAACCCTCCTCGTCATCCCCGATGGGATTTGATCTTTGTATGAATTTCATCTAAAGAAAAGCAAAACGTTATTAATGATGAAATGTGTGCTTTCGTAAATTTGGACCAACATTAATAAATAGCATTCTTGGTTATTAAACACAGACGATGCCAATGAAATAAAACAGGTAAACTGCTTCGTAAACGATGATGGGCATATTGGGCGTTAAACCAACAGAAACAAAAAGTATACTAAATTATAGCTTAATACTAGTACTTCATTTCATAGTATGACAACCATCCTGAAATACGCGGGGATACAGAGATAGAGGTCGTTGAATATGCAAAGTTTCCATAGTATTTCACATCACATTAGGGTAATAAAAATAGTATTAGGTCAATTAGATTGCTTTTATCGATCATATTGAGAGTATTGTATCATATCTTTCTATCGATTCTATCGATTTAGTAAGTATGAATACCGAATAAATCATAATCGTTTATCTGATTGCAATAATCGATTATATTGCTGAAAATAAGGAATTGAATTAACAATCAAATTATAGTAATGATGGTAATCAATAAAATCGATTAATCGAATAATCGATCGCGACAACACTACAACTTAACTGGTAGAAATCCCATTGAAACATGACCGTGTTCATGTCATTTCTCTAAACGGTACCTAGGGAAGGGTCCTACGCTTATAATGTAGAATGGTTTAAATATACCATTTGTTGGCCCCACTCCTGAACTATTGCACATAATAATGGATAAATAACTTAATGTATTTAAAATGTAAGTAGATAAGTATATTAATTAATAATATTTTTTGTTTGCGCAATAAAGCACCTATTACTATTACACATTATGTCAGTTTCCAAGCAAACCCGGGAGTTTTTGGTAGTTATTTATATGAAAATATATATCTGATATTAAGTCCTAACAAATAATAGTAGTTACATTTCTGTTGGTTTTACGCCCAGATTCCATAGAAAAGTGTCCATCATCCTTTTCATCATAACTTATATCGTTACTCGTTAAATTACAATGAGGGAATGCGTTGAAATTACTTCGCATAGTCGGTAATTAATTCCTTTGATCAATATGTTTAAGTAGGGAGATAGGCTCTCGCATACATACAATACGAGTTAAACAAAACTCGAGACGTATACTCCATTAAACTTTTGTGAAGTAATTTCATCAAAATTCACTTTGTCGCCGTTCGTTCCAGCTGGGTCGCGGGACATAAATCCGTTTTATTAACTTAGTCACAGAATGTAAGACTTTCTTGGGCTCATGTTTAATTGCTTGTTTTAACGACGTGGAAAATAATCGCTTAGCCGGTGTAATGACGTAGGAGCGTAGAGCTGTAAAAAACGTGTTGCTGTCCATTGGGGAGACCAATAAACAATGGTAGAAGTTCATCTACGGAGNATACGGAAAACTAGAATGTCAAGTAGGGTAGGTTGAGGAAATGGAATAGTTTGAAACAAACTACCAATTTGGTAGGTAGAGTCATAATTTATGCGCTTCCGAACAGAAATAATATTATGTAACTGTAATTGCATTTTTAATGTAGTTAATATACTTAACAGCTTATGTCATCCAAACAATCGTTATGAAACGAATAATGTATGCAGCCGTACGAAGACAGAGTTGAGCTATAATACTCGTAATTATAAAACAAAGGCGCGGGAATGGGGTGACACAGCGACACAAACGCTTAAGCGAAATGTGGGCTAGTTCCACACAATGAGCAAAACTAACAATTTAATTGCTTAATAACACTGTAGCGACTATGCTTGTCCGGAACATACTACACTTAACGGACTATAAAATATTTTCAAAGCAAATCAATATTTTAAATCATACTTAATTACTTATGTTTGTAGTTTTTTTATATCTAATAGCTAGTGTAGCACTAGCTTTGCTTAACCGTTACACAATACGCGATAGAGCTGCGTTCTGCCGGCAACGACACATCCATTATAAACAGGTGATGTTTGAATAAAAAACCGTACTATAGAAACTGGGTCTAGGTAGTACAGTCAGCGTCAAATAGTTTAGAAACCCAAAGTGGCCAAAAGGTGACAACACAACCTTATTCTAATTGTATCAAAGACGTGTTGAGATTACGAACTCTTTGGCTACTTTGGGTATCATGAAGTATTTGATGCCGACTGTACAAAAAGTTAAATAACAATGCAGCAATGATTCAAGCAAATAGTTTCCTAAATAAAAAGACAATCTACACTTACAGTGTGCACCGAACTTTGCCGAGTTTAAATTGTTTTACCAACCGAAATAAACGGGAGCACTTGCGTTCACACAATCCAATAACCCTTTTATTGGATTGTGTTTAACAAAATACAATTACGAAAGCTGCAAACATTTACAACCATCTGTTGAGCAAGCTATAATAGCTACACTATGTGACTTAAAATAGATATTCATACTGTACATAGATGTAGAGATTGATCGATCGCTTAATAAGTTATGTATTGTTTATTCGCAAGCAAGAAAGCCTTCTGGTTATTGGGTTTTGGTTGCCTAAACGTGGTTAGGTGATACAAGTAATTTTCTGAAACATAATTGCGCCCCAAACTTTGTGGGCCGCTTTGACCTTTTCTTTTGTTTTGAGACTTTGATAACAAAAAGTCTGATTCAACAGTATCTCCTCCCACAAAACCAGTACAAAGGCAGAGTAAAGTAACCCTTTAAGGAAAACAATTTTTATCCGCGGCTCGAACAATTACCGAAATGGCCAACATAAAAACGGATTTTAGCAACTGTAATAATGGAGATTTACAAATCGCTCCGTTTGTTACCTTGTAATTTTTGCGACCAGTCGAATTACGGAGCGGGACCCCTGGAGAGGGAAACTTCAAAGGTTTTATTTTAAACGAATTGTTAATAGTAAAAGCACCCCACTCTTTCTAAAAAGAATGGTAATGTTTATTGAAACGTCAACGTTGAATTGTACTGAGGTTTACGTAGGTGGAAATTCTACAATATTTTTAGGCAATATTCATGTTTGTATCGTTAAAATTTATTGATAATAAAAACTCTTCCTAAATTAATGCCTTTCTTCTTTTATTTAATATTCAATTTCCACGTCTTAACACATAGGTACCAAATCATCTAGACTATTGGGAACCTATTTAGGTACTAGTACAGCTAGCTGTTATTAATGCTTTGAGGTGGACCATCCGACCATGGTAATATAATATTCAGTATACCAATGTGAATGTGCACTGTGTAGAATAAGAGAGTGCAGTGCATTTTGATAAAAAAATGTATGGTGCCTACCAGGAGCACGGTGATTTATTGATTAAAATCAGTCCTTTAAGTATGTTAATTATGCTTTATTCGAAAAAAAAGGAAAATAATAACAAAACACTGAATTTTTTTATGCAGGTATTTGTCTGCAATCGTACCTACCTGGTGTTAAGTAATCGAAATTAAATGATTTTTTTTATTCAATTTTGACTAAAAGTTGCATTTTAAGGCGAAAAATGTTAAGAAGAAATCACCGAAACCATTTATTGCCTCGGATAGGTACAGAATAGGTCTACCACATCCTACGATATTATTCAAACCTAAATCTTCTCTGAAATTTCAATATAATATTAGGATTTATCCATCTTTATACTCGGTTAGTTCCATCTAGCCGACAAAAACAAAGCGTAACAGCCGACATTTCACTTATTATACGTGTAAGAATATACTGAAGAAGTAGAAGTTTCATTTGTCACTTTGTCGGCGGACATAACGATTCTGGACAATGGATTTAGGTTAAAAAGGACATGATATCGTCTCGTGAGCGAAACTGAATTGATGTAATGAATTTGTCACTGGAGACATGGTTAGAACACTTTAAGCGAGTCGTTTCTACAGTGGAAAAACGCTTTTTAAAAACCTATTTGCTGAAAATAAATAGCTTTTATGACTATCTACTATTATTTGATTCCATTCTATTTCTTTCCAGAACATAAAAAAGCTAAACACTTTGAAAGTATTGCAGTTGCACAACAATAAAATTACTGAAAATAATATCAATATAGGTATCTAAGTATAATAAGGAACCTGAAGGCGAATCACTTAATTATATCAGTTCTCTTTTCTACTGGCATGTAAAAAGTAGAGCCGATTATCCTTTATATTTTTGCCATATTATGGTATTATATCGCAGACTTAGGGAAGATAGTTTTCTTCCACAATGATTAGGAAGACTATCGCCCGATCAGTTTGCATTCTGCAAACATGTTGCTCAACCAGCGGTTATCCATCTGATGGTACCCACGATGCCCGAGCCATTATGCAAAGCTTCATTGTCTTCTATCTGTGTTTACGCGGTAATTATAATGGTCTTTCGTCATCCTACATCACTGCTAAGATTATACTTAATTAATAGTTTGATACAGCACAAGAATCGATCCAACAGTTAAGAACGTAGCTATGTAGGTAATTAGATAATGTATAGCAAAAAGTTAGATCAGCGAATCTTTATTGAACTAATGTTCGAATAATTGTAGGTGTGTAATTCGATAATTACTATCGAGGATTTGTATCAGATATAATTACTATTACGTGACTTGGTAATGCTATTATGATACTACGTGTATTGAAGAGGTTCCAAACAAAAAAAGGTAATAATCGTTCGACCTTGCATACCGGCTAATGGTTTACAACTTCATTTCTAAACTAAAGCTTCAATAGTCAAAGATTAAAGCATTAAAGCTCAAATCCTAACGAACACACTAGAAAATTATGTAGTATGCTAATAGTACCGATTAGTTGCCTGCGTGCGCCGTCGCGCCGTCCAAATATCGTTTAGTTAATTTTTTGTTATATTTAATCTAGTTGATGATAGACTAATTTATGAAATGACTACAACTATTATTTTTAAAGTCTGGAGGTTTTGTAACCTTTTGCGGTTTTAGGTTAAGATTTACAAAATCATAGCCCCTGGTGAGTTTGTGCAAACATATACGAAAATTTCTACGCAGCGATTAAAATAAAATAACTGAGGATCGAGCTTGATGGCGTGTGCATTGGATGTATAAACAGATTGTCCGAAAAAATTATCAAGCCAAAACCTAGAGGTAGAGCATCGCTAGGGCTACCCTAATCGCATAATATGTACCCCATGTGTTCCGCGATTTTTGATAGTTTTTGAGTTATGACTTTATTAATTTCTCTTCTCTGAAAAACTTCTTATTGTGTTTAGCTTGACGTGCTGTGTGTGCATATTGTTATGATGAATAGTTACTATCATTAGAAGTAAATTACAAGTGTAGTTACCTTCGAGCTTGCCCGAGTAGACCTGCGCGGTGTTGTAGTCGAGCGGGCCGGATGACGAGTGGAACTGCACGCCCTCCGCGTACACGGAGCTCGGGTCTGGCCGCAGCACCAGCTTGAATTCCCTGCGACAAGAAAAATGAACGTTTACTCATCTAAATATAAAAGGAGAAACTGACTGACTGACTGACATATCAACGCACAGCCTAAACGGCTAAACGTAGGCACTTGAAATTTGGAAGGGACGTAGCTTAGGTCCGTAGAGGTGCATTAAGAAAGGAATTCCCGAAATTCTCACGGGAACGGGAATTAGCGGGAAAATCCTTTTGTATGAAAAATCTAAACCGCTTAAGTTAGACGCTTGAAATTTGGCATGCAGGTACCTTAGTAAACTTAAAGCTTAGTTACAACAGGATATTGCAAAATTCCCACGGGAACGGGAGTTAGCCGGAAAAAACATTTGTATGAAAAAATCTAAACCGCGTAAGATAGATGAAGGGGGTAAAACGGGATCCACGCGCACGAAGTCTCGGGCGGCCGCTAGTCAAAAGATAAAGACATAAAACAGAATAAAAATAAGCATAGAAGACAAGGGCCACCGGCTCAGCGTAAACGGTACGGTCCAGCCAGTGCCAATCTTGTGCAGAGTACTTGATACAGTTTTACACAGATGAATAATTATATTAATGATGAATATTTAGGGGCCACAATGGCCACTTCTCTACCAACGAGAATGTGTGGTCAGTACCTATACGGTAATTTGCTCCTGAAAATATTTGTACGCCTAATTACTTAGCTATTTTTAAACCGACACGTAACGGTTCATTACGACACACACAAACATTTTTGATGAAAGTAGTACCCATTATTTTATTTTTATTTATTTATTAAAGGATAGTAGGGGAGAGTTCGGTATATTGTACCGCCGGGTAAATTGTACCACCCTCATATTTCGTAAAGTATTTATTGAATGTCTGTAATTGCAACACTCAGCNCAGCAAAAACATTGATTAAAGAAAACAAGAGAATCGGGAACAAAGCAGGTAAATAATTAAGCAACTGTCGCAACTGCTTGCCAAAAACTTTCTGAGACGTAGCGTGAGAGGGAAAATCATTAATGTGTTACGGGACTAAGGTCGCTTTTCCACCGAAGATGTGCGACGAAAATATGCGAAAGATGTGTAGCGGTGTGTAGCAGAGCGGTGCGAGATTTCGTAGCTGAAATTCAGCTGTGTACGATAAGTACTATACCGTACATATCCTTAACACATTACTCATTCGCACCCTTCCTTGGTACACCTATTCCTCACTCGCATCTCTTGTACCTACGCATTTCTCACTTATTTTGTACTAGCTACCGCGGCTTCGCCCGCGTGGAATTTTGTCTGTCACAGAAAAACTTTATCGCGCGCGAAAAACTATCCTATGTCCTTTCACGGGACTCAAACTCTATGCCAAATTTCATTCAAATCGGTTCAGTAGTTTTGACGTGAAAGCGAGACAGACAGAGGTACTTTCGCATTTATAATATTAGTATGGATGGATGTTTCTTATAGGTCCATGGTTTCTTACATACAAAATTGAGGAATGCATAATGTGGCTACAATCAAACACAAAACATCCAGATTGATGCAAACTGATATTTTATGCATAAAAATTGTATTGTGATGGAATTGAACTTCTGACGTATGTTACATCGGTACACAAACCGCCGGGCCACTGCCCGTAAATAAATATAAACAATGTTATCTTCCTAAAAAGTATTGCTTGATATTTCTCGCGTAGCAGGCACGTGGTGTAAACTCATCCTAATTCTTGCGCTGTTACCTAACTAAAAACATTAAAGGTCACGTGGTCCCAGTATATCAGGGCTCCACATGTGATTTATCGGCCATTATATGGTGCTCTACTTTTTAATACCTAGAGTTTAGAACTCTTCGCTGTTGTAAATCATAATTAAGCGCGCGATATATTTTTAGTACCATACAGTGATTACAATCACAAAGCACCCTGTACTGTAAATTGGTAACGTTTATTACTTTTTTATGACCACTTGAGCTTTCGGCTGATGAAATTGAAGTAAGTAGGTACTTATCGAGAGTTGTTACAGCAGTTTTATTGGAAAGATTTATTGTCTTGAAAATACAAAATGTCAACTGCAATTGCGCATTTACTTACGTCATGTGTCCTGGCGCATACGTATTTATCAATCTAAGTAGAGTTCCGTTTGTATCCTTCAAAAAGCCAATAATTCCATAACTGTATAGTGACGTCATGCAGGTGACGTCGCTAACTCTATAAAGCTCGGCCGATGTAGAGTGACGCTAACGAGCAAATCGAATGGCGATCGGATTGGCACCAACACCGCAAACGGCCTTTACTTCATTTGTCAGAAGAACTTCGTTATCGAGAAACAAAAGTATAACGATGTTATCTCCATTCTCTTATTTACCTGTTTCAGCCATTAATGTGTCAATGAAATATTAAATAAGTCAGAAAGCACTTACACTACACTAGATAATAATAGATACATAATTAGAGGCGAGTCTATAAATAACTTATTTATTGATTGTCTCTAACTTGAAGTAAGAAAAAATATTTCAGTACCCTTTGTACTACTATCTGAACTCTACCAATCACTTCTTATTTTTGGAAATAGTTGCTTCGCTCCAAGAAGCTATGACGAGATTCACGCCCGTATTCACAAATGACGCTTGCTTAAGTGAAGAAGCAAATTGAACGCACAGCGTTGAATAGAGCTCTGTGATTGGTTCGTGTGTCAGCCTGTGTGTCCACGCGCACTGTGAGACCTCATAGTAATGTTTGTGAATACGGACGTGAATCAGTTACGAACGTCTCTTTATCTATCAAGGAAGGCTGTTGACAGACGTCACGTATATCCATAGGCGCTTGTCGGGACCAGAGCGACACGGTTCGTAGCACGTAGCACTCGATGTTGGTATTTCATCGGAAAATCGAGTTGATTTGAGTCCTCAATAATAGACTGACTAACGTAATTCAATAATATCACAGATAAGTCGATAGACGAGGACAGTAACAAGCGCCGTGTGCCAGCAGACGCCGACTGTCCGCTACGAGTATTTGTAAGACGCCGACTGTCCGCCGTCCGCTATTTGCCCGCCGGAACTTCGTTAGGAACTTCGCCGATTCCTCCAATAAAGCCGATCATGCCTATTACTGTCGCTTGTCGTGTGTGATCATCATTGTCGGAATTTCGGTCGTACTTAACTTGCAATTTGACGTAAGTCCCCAAAATGCTTCGAAGCAAACTCAAATTGTGCCTGTAATTGTATAATGTTGAATTAATTAATTTAAAATAATCAGGCGTGGCTACAATCCAGACGATGTCATGGACGTCACAAAATTCCAATTTATGTTACGAGTAATTTGGATTAATATGCTGCAATTTACTCTTCCCGCGACCTTTACCAGATCGTCNTGAATCCTGATACATAAATTTAGCCTATTAATTTAACACATGTACGACTGTACTCAGTGTTGCACTATCAAATGCAATTGAAGCGCCTCTATGCCAGGGTTTTTATGTTCCTGGTCAGGCTATATAACGATGTTATCTCCATTCTCTTATTTACCTGTTCCAGCCATTAATGTGTCAATGAAATATTAAATAAGTCAGAAAGCACTTACACTACACTAGATAATAATACATAATTAGAGGCGAGTCTATAAATAACTTATTTATTGATTGTCTCTAACTTGAAGTAAGAAAAAATATTTCAGTACCCTTTGTACTACTATCTGAACTCTACCAATCACTTCTTATTTTTGGAAATAGTTGCTTCGCTCCAAGAAGCTATGACGAGATTCACGCCCGTATTCACAAACGACGCTTGCTTAAAAGAAGAAGCAAATTGAACGCACAGCGTTGAATAGAGCTCAGTGATTGGTTCCTGTGTCAGCCTGTGCGTCTACGCGCACTGTGAGACCTCATAGTAATGTTTGTGAATACGGGCGTGAAGCAGTTACGAAAGTCTCTTTTTCTATGAAGGCTGTTGACAGACGTCACGTATATCCACAGGCGCTTGACAAGACCAGAGCGACACGGTTTGTAGCACGTAGCGCTCGAAGTAGGTATTTCATCGGAAAATCAAGTTGATTCGAGTCCTCAATAATAGACTGACTGACGTAATTCAATAATATCACAGATAAGTCAATAGACGAGGACAGTAACAAGCGCCGTGTGCCAGCAGACGCCGACTGTCCGCTACGAGTATTTGTAAGACGCCGACTGTCCGCCGTCCGCTATTTGCCCGCCGGAACTTCGTTAGGAACTTCGCCGATTCCTCCAAAAAAGCCGATCATGCCTATTACTGTCGCTTGTCGTGTGTGATCATTATTGTCGGAATTTCGGTCGTACTTAACTTGCAATTTGACGTAAGCCCCCAAAATGCTTCGAAGCAAACTCAAATTGTGCCTGTATAATGTTGAATTAATTAATTTAAAATAATCAGGCGTCATGGACGTCACAAAATTCCAATTTTTGTTACGAGTAATTTGGATTAATATGTTGCAATTTACTCTAAGTGCTGTGTATTCCGGGAAAAACTAAGACTGATGCGCGAAAACAGTTTTCCGAGATGAATAAAATCCCACGTTGGAGAAGCAATAGAATCACTGTATCTATCACTAACAAAAACTAAGCGTGTTCCACGTTGACTAGCATAATAATAATTGATTTTCAATTTACTAACAATTAATTAATGATAATTGATTCGAAATGAAAACCGACACCGACGGTAAATTAAGTGTTAGAAATAGTCGGGTCGTAATTAAAATTAATCAATCTGTATGCTTCATTACAAGTAAAATCTGCACATTGTTAATTAAGGTATAGAGAAGTAGGTAATTAATTATAATTAGGTACTTACTGGAATTTTTTGGTTCGTTCCCGGTTTGAACTCTGAGATCTCACAGGCTCGTTTGTGAGATCCCAGATCCCTCGGTTGTTTGCCGGGTGGATTTCTAACTTGATTAGCGAATATTAATAGCCTGAGTAATGCCGTTGTACTCCCGGGTATTAACAGGTAGGTAATACGGCAAAGTTAAATATGACAAGGGCAAACATTGACAAGCAAAAACGAAG